AGGAGGAGTACCATCTCGCGAGATCCAGAGATAGAGAGGCGCATTCAGCATCGTTCGTCGATGTGTTTGCTAAGCGGTGTTTGGTGCGAAACTGCACAGCGGCTAATGGATTAGGCGGCGATTTTCGGGGCGTGGATTTCCCCGCAAGGCTGTTGCGGTCTCGCCGCCAATGATACCTCGCACTCGTGAAACACCGCCAACAATCTGATAGAAGATCGGATTTACCGTAGGATCCTCGAGGGATGCGAAAAGCACCTGATCGTATCGAACCGCTATCGGGAAATTTTTTATTCCGGTTGTTGAAATCGACAGCGACGACACGATATTGATCGGTGATCGATGATATCGACGATTGCTGATTTTTGACGCATCTCAACGGGCGGAGCTTCCTAATCCGATCACCCGGCAGCTCGGACGCGTATCGAGGAAGCTCCCCCTCTCTCTCCGTGATATACCGGAGATGTGAGTGAGTCACGCATCACCTTATAGTAGCGGCCGACGTTCGCGAGTACACGCGTGTGTAGCGCGGCCGACGCGCGGCGTGAATCGGTTTCCAGGCGACGGCGACGGCCTGATTAGAGCGCCTTTGTGTCAGCATCCGATACGGAAAAACCGCTTGGAAACGGTCGCCTAACAACCGTCATCGCGGCAGCGGCATTCAGCCGACCGAGCGGATTCAGAGTTGAATAAATAATTTGCCGGCGAGCGGATATCATAGCTGCGCACGGGAGGAAGGAGTATAGGCGCAGGCGTGCTGACACGGACAGGGCGTTTTCTTCGATCAGTTAGCAATCATGCTGTCCGGAAAAGACGTCGGCGCGCGACTGCTGACGAGGTGTCTGCTTCTGCTGTACGCAGTGCCAGGTAATTATAAACCATGCGTGTGCTGACATACGCGCGACACGCGTTAACATGTGTGTGTAGGTCCAGTAACCTCTACCGTGCACGTGTGACCGCTACCGTGCACGTGTGACCGCTACCGTGTACATGTGAGTGTCATAGTGTTAACATGTGTGTGTAGGTGTAGTAGCCGCTACCGTGTACGTGTAAGTGTAGTAGCCGCTACCGTGTACGTGTAAGTGTATTAGCCGCTACCGTGTACGTGTGAGTGCCATACTGTGAACATGTGTGTGTAGGTGTAGTAGCCTCTAACGTGTACGCGTGAGTGCCATACTGTTAACCTGTACGTGTAAGTGTATTAGCCGCTACCGTGTACGTGTAAGTGTATTAGCCGCTACCGTGTACGTGTAAGTGTACGTTTCAGTTCGTTGCTGTACGATTCTGTTACGTACACACCGAATACTGATCAGAACGGTTCGCGAAAAGAAGATTCCAAATGCTGACGTCATAGCGAGGTGCATTCTGGGTATTTTCAACGAGATATTCACGAGAACACCACGTGATTTCATCATGTGACTAATCCCAAACCGAACAGAACCGTGTTCGTTGACACACCGCCAAACAGAACTGAATCGAACCGTAAGCGAACTGCTCAATCCCCTTACGTATGTGGACTGAAAATAATGCGCATTGATGCGTATTACAACCGTATCTGGTGCGTGGAAGCGAATCAATGCGCATCAAAACGCATTGAAAGTTCGGTGTGTTATAATAACGGTAACGGTATAATAACGGTAACGGGTTAACGGTATAATATGCCGTACCGTACCTCGCCTACTCCACTAACGAATCTAGGGAGTCGCCTACTCCCTAACCCTAACCCTAACCTTAACCCTAACCCTAACCCTAACCATATCAGATAGTTACCAGGGTACGTTCCGGTATACCGGACCGTACCCAGGGTACGTTCCGGCAGTACCCTGGGGGACATAGACCCTATGAGCCTAACTAAGAGTTGCAGTCAGTACAACCATATAGCGTTAGTGCGTGCAGTCACTGTATACAGTTGCTGCGTTCCGTACAGAGCCAAACTGCAACTGCACGTGTTCGCAAATGATTCATCGGAATCGTTGACTGCCTTCATGTCGATGATTATCGTTGATATTAGAATTGTATGAGTAGCGCTAGGTTATGATTGCCGTTGGAGCAGCAATCTGTAGTGATTAGTGTTCCGCTGTTACCGCTGTTACCGCTGCTGCTGCTGCTGTTGCCGCCGCTGCCGCCGTCGCCGCCACCGCTGCTGCTGCTGCTGCTGCTGCTTCTAATGATTTTCTACTCTATTGTTATGTTCCACGTATGTGGTAGCAGTTGCTGGCGATTGTAAATGTTACTATATTACGCACGTTTCTGTATTCAAATACACACGCACAAACTTGGCAAATCGAACCGTGGCGTTATATAATCCTCTTTAGATGCGTATTCGACATACCAGATGCATTACGAAAATGAATAATCCCTTTACCATATGTTCCACTAACCGACAACACTATATATTTCAAGAGTCCATAATGGAAAACTATTATGTTCTATTATGGACTCTTGATATA